GCAGGGCCCGGCAACCGGGGATGGAACTACAGCAATGAGCACTTTAGGGTTTCCCCTAAACTTCCCTGAAATCAGTAAAATAGAGAAAAAAACTGACAGCGCTGCGTTTCCCGGCTCACTGTCCCACAGCCACGGCTACCGCTGCATCCCGGTGCTGGCCTCGATGTGCTGGGCGCGGACGGACGCTGCCGGGGAGGTTTCAGAACCTCGCACCGTTCCTCGAGGCTGGTGGGTGAGTGACTTTTGCCCGCAGGTAACAGCAGAGGGCTCAGAGCGGGGCGGTGACCGGGCCCCTCCTTGCCTGCCCTCCCGCGCTGGCCCGGGACCCCACCGCAGTTTGCTGGGTTAAAGTGGAACCTGACGATTCTGGTTCGTACCCCTGGAAAAACTACCCAGGTTCAGCGCCTCACCCGTCAGCCAGGGCTGCTGTGTTTGATTTGGCAGGAGTCCCTTCTCTTGGTTTTCATTTTTTTTGTCACAATGGGAGTTGCTAGTGGGGCGGCGCAGGTAAAGGTAGCGGGCAGCGGGGGCAAAATTCTGCAAACTTCTGACAAATCGGGCAAATTAGCTATTGCTTTCGCTCGGTAACTTTGGGAAAGCTGCCACTGATTTCTCATGGCAATGCTGGTCCAATGGCCGCTGCCTTCAGCAAGACGCTGACGCTCTTGTCCTCGCTGGGAGGTTTCGGCAGCTTCACCCCTCGCAGTCCCATCCTAAACAAGCTAAAATCCAGGTGCTGGGCCATGGGGAGCGATGGGGACTGCGCCCCGTGTGTCCTTGGGGAGCTCCGTATCGCCCCGTCCCACGGGAAACCCCTGCCTCCAAGGGGTTAACGCCTTTCCCCGGTACGGATAAAGGACGACCACCTCGTCTGGTCTCGAGGATACCCCGTTACACAAGCTTTTCCTTGAGAATGGGTCGCCCTCCCCAAGCTGTAATTCTTCCTGGCAGCGACAGTGCAAGTGGTTATGGGACAACAAAAGAGGTTTGTGCCTCCAGGGGAGAAATAAGAATGCAAATATCTTTGGCATGAAAAAACAAAGGCGATTTACTCCTTGGTATTTCTTGTCAGTACTTTGCATCTGTCTCTGCTTCACCTTCTCATTCCTTTCCTTTGGGCTTTCCAAGTGCAATAAGGCTTTGGGGAGCGATGGGGGCTGGAGGGGCCCTGTGGGAGGGACGGGACTGATCGCTGGTGGCTGCAGCCTCTCCGGCCCAGGGCTTCGCAGCTCTGCTGTGAAATGCTTTTTCCCCCATGTTGTTCGCCCACTTTGGGGGGATTTGCCCTGCTGCAGCCTGGCCTCGGAGAGGGCTTGGCCGTGTCTTGCCGGGACGCTTTGCCCTGGCACATCCATTGTGGGTTCGTCCCGTGCCTGGCAGCGGCTCGCACCAGGACGTGCTTCTCCCTCTTCCCGGGGAATTCTGCTCCGCTCCCAGCCTGGGTGCGTGGCCGCTGTTTGAGGGCTCTGTAAACCGTAGCGAAGGAGAGCAAGCGTCCCGTCAGTGGGCATAAATCAGCCGGGAGCTGGAAAACAGGGCGGGCTGCAGACAGAAGGGGAGTGTGGGCCCCTGCTTTCTGCCGCCGGATGGGTCAGGGACTTCCAGTTCATTTATTCTGCTGGGGTTTGCCCAGCCCTGCTCGGCATGTGTAATGTTTTCTCTGAAAGACCTAGCAGTTAGATGGGTGAAAAACATTCTCCTGTCTCAGGAGCTGGCAGAAATCCTAGTAAATCTGCAGAAGTATGTTTTTGTCGGTGCTGCTTATTCTGTTAGGGGAACTAGTATAAACTATTCCAGTAGAAAACCTTTTCCT